ATAAAAAATATATAAAATGTCAAAAATATAGTACTTTTTGTAATATTTAATATGTAAAAAATTGTAATCTTTTAATTATATTCTGGAAAATACGAATTTGCATAAAAATCTGCAGTCGGACAATAACAGATGCTGTTATTAAACATCGTTCTGTTAGAAATTTCGAATCTCTTTCTTTTTTTTGCTCTTTCACGTCAGCATTATGTATTTTATTAATCAATTTATCCCCAATTTATTAATCAATCCTTGAATTCAACCAATGCCAACTAACAATCAAATCAACACTATCAACGGCCGTTAAATAAGAAGGACAACAACAATATTTGCACATTACCTTTATTAGAAGCGATAATAAGTCGGTGGAGTACGGCGAGTGAAAAGAGTTTTAGCGAGATATTTTCACGAAATTACAATGTTGCCTAATCGTACTCGGCATCTGCGAGCGTGCCGCCAATTTATTCAACATACACGCTGGCCAGGATTTGCACACGGAACACGTGCGTGCTGCTGCCGGCAAGTATGCAGAAATGCTCGAATAAATAATATCAGGGCACGTTCGAGGGCCTCGATTCATTAAATGGCGGCCAAATCTCGTGATACGGCTGAAATGGGAAATGAGTAATGGAGTCAAGTGAGCCGGTGACCTCGCGGGTAAGTTCGGTATTGCGAGTGTATAATCCTTTCCTAATGACGTGCCCGTTTTTAGCCTTTAATACGGCTGACACGTCGCAATCGTGCCGCATGGTTAAAAGCAAAGCCCTCTCACGTTTTCCGCGCGTTTTGTGTACAGATTAACATACATACGTACGTAGAACAGCGGGAGCCTAATTTCACGGAACATTCATCATGCGGGCTGGACCGAGCCAGCTTTCAAACGAATCTTCTGGGACGTATCCGTACCAGCGCGCGTCATCCTCTCCAAGAAATTTGTAACATTTCGAAACGGATTTTTCACGTTTCTTCCGAGCGTTGCGCAACATCGTTTTAAATTAGACGAGTTATGTCTTTGTACTGATTACTAAACGAATTAATTGGAGTTTTAGGATGACACTCGCATGATCAACAGATTTTATAATCATACATGTAATGTTCAATACAATTTTGTGTGAAAAAAATATGTCGAAAATATGAAACAAAATATTTTCTCTGATTTATGTTTGAATAACGGGGAACGCATTATATATCTCGCGAGGGATGAATTTCGTTATTTTAGAAATTTTGCACTCAAACTTGAAAATTGAATTTCTTTCATATCATAAAACAATAAAATTTTCATCGTATGCGAATATTTTGTTCTACCGTTCTTCTTCTAGATTTTATATTTTATAATGATACAATTAAAGAAGAAGAAATTTGTTTCCACACCAAATACTCTACTTTTGATATTTTATACATTTCTGTATATTTTGTGCATTACTCTCATTACATACATAAATTTCGATTTAAATTTATAAAATTTTAACTGAAAATATTCAATTTTTCTATAACATAATTGTTTAACATAGACGTTTATAAATTATAAATTTTAAAATGAACAGTAAACGATATTATATCACCACTTCAAGTTCACACGATTGATATAAAATCTTTGAAAAGTACTTCCAGTTTCGAAAATTTCGAATGCAAATTTCGAGGATTTAAAAATTAATTCCCATCTCTATTCTAAATCTCCTTGACGCCGAAATATGATCTTTGCTCATTTACACTTTGCTGTAGCCGGCTAAGTCACGAATGTACAATAGCTCGTGGAATCTCCGCAGAAAATAATTTATACTTGACAATGAAGTTGGCATCAATATAAATTACGATTCGCGGTGAATCACGAATCTTATTGCGTCAATGAACCTTTGTAATAACGAATTTCTTGCTTATTATTTCAGATGCCACGTCGCGGTGCAACCATATCGGCTGGATTGCTCCACTTACTCATTTTAGCTGCTCTGTTCGCCCTTGGCACGGCAGCTATCTGTCCAAACGGGTGCATCTGCGACGACGACAACCTCGTGGTATCCTGCATAGGTGCCAATTTGGACGTCATACCGATCGCGCTGAACCCGAGTATCCAGCGGATAGTGTTGAAGGAGAATCGGATAAAAATAGTGGACGCGGCAGCGTTTCAATTCTACGGGGATCTAAAGAACGTCGACCTATCGAGCAATCACCTATTTACCATTCCCAACGGGAGTTTCGACGCGCAAAAGCAACTGGTGGAGCTTCATCTCAGACACAACAAGATCTCAGCACTGACCGAGAAGACGTTTCAAGGTCTAAAGTCCTTGACGGTGCTGAATCTGCGGGACAACTACTTGGAGAGTCTAAAGAACGGTCTGTTCGCCTCGTTGTCGAAGTTGGAGGAACTAGATCTAGGCAAGAATCGTATATCGAAAGTGGAGCCTGGTGCTTTTCAAAAACTGGGAACGCTCCGAGTCTTGCATCTCGATGATAATCAGTTGAGAACCATACCGTCGCCAGCACTGGCGCCGTTGAACGCCTTGGCTGAGTTGCATATAGGTTGGAATGCGTTTTCCTCGCTCCCGGACGACGCGTTCAAAGGGCTGGAGCAGTTGACCGTGCTGGACATCACCGGTGCTGGTCTAGACGACATCAGTGACGGCGCTCTCCGCGGTCTGAACGCTCTGCGTACGTTGGAACTGGACGGAAACAAGTTGCGAGAAGTGCCGACGAAACAGTTGGCGGTTCTGCCTCGCCTCGAGGAGCTCACCTTAGGTCAGAACTTCTTCACCACTTTGAGATCGGGGGCATTTCAAGGTCTGTCCAAGTTGAAAAAGTTAGACATATCCGCGGCGAAATTGTTAACTACCGTCGAGCGTGGAGCATTCTCGGACAACGCCAATTTAGAAACGCTGGTGTTGAACAGTAATAAACGGCTGACTACGATGGAGGACGGTTCCCTGGCTGGTTTGCCTAATTTGAGGCATTTAATGCTGCGTGACAACGCGTTCACCGGATTTTCGGAGTCTCTGGTGGCCTGGAACGAGCTACGTCGACTGGACTTAAGCGAGAATCCCTTGGTCTGCGATTGCAGTCTACTTTGGTTAGCTGAGGTTCTTGTCCCGAGGAACTCCAGTCCGGTATTGTGCGCGGAGCCGCAGGAATCAAAGGGAAAACCTATCAAGGGTATGACACCTGACGAGCTAGGCTGCGCCTTTTCCGATCCCCGGAAGCAAGCGCTGTTAGCGACTCTCTGCGCTGCCGGTCTTGCTTTGCTCACCGGACTGGCTGTGATTCTCTACTACAGATGTCGTAGACACGTGAGGGATGCCCTGAAGGACTATAAATGGAAGAATCGCACGATCTCTCGCAAGGAGCACGAGTATCAAAAGACCTTCTCCGATGACGAGTACATCGTCAGATCCGCGCACCCCCACCACCACCATCATCATCAATCTCAGTCGCAGCAGATCCCACCTCACCATCATCATCATCATCTTCAACAGCAGCAGCTGCAGCAACAGCAACAGCAGCAGCAACAACAACACTCGCAGATAGCGGCGGGTATTAAACCTATACCTGTGACGGAACTGTAGCTAGAACTTCGGGCGGCGAGCCCTGGAACCGGCGGTGTTTGGTTCTTGCCGCATGGCAGCACTACTCTTGCTGAAGGCTTCACCTACATCGACGGGGAGACGGCACGTCAAATGCGCCGTCCGGGAACGCTGCCCAATTCCGGCACGGCCGGCCATCGTCCCGCCGCCCCCATAGAGGACGGTAGCACGCCATTGAGCGTCACCGGCGATAATTGCACATCGACCGGCGGCAGATTACATTATTCCAATCACTCTTTACGTCGTACACCGCAGCCGCCCCATGTGCCATCACGCGACACCGACAACCCCTCGGAAAGAACGCAGAACGACTCGAGACTTCAGAACGGCATACCTGGACAGCATCACGCGCCACCGCCTCTCCCTTCGAGACACCAGTCGTCCTGTAGCCAATCTTCTTATCCTACCCTGCCAATGAACGGCCACGCGACTCATCAGTACCACCATTTCCCCCGCGAGAAGGAGAGATCGTCAGCTCGCGAGAGGAGTCGCGATCGAGATGTCAGCGTGCAATCCGTCCCTCATCGATCTGACAAGCACCGAGACCTTCAAATGGAGATGGAGATGCGCGACGGGCTGGACATGGGCGAAATAGGGACGTATCGAGCGTAAAGGTACGCGCGATGAAAACGGGAACAAGGTGGACTCGTTTCGGCGTAAGGGTAGAATAGGCCGAGTGAATTGAATCGAAGACTGAATCCGAGCGTTGAATAGGGACTCTGATGGTGAACGAGATTGAAATGGACCGCACTTTACGCG